TTTCACCCTCTATTTCCCGCGCTACGCTTGCCATTCACCCCTTGTTCTCAGTACGAATTACAAATCTTTCTATCGCGTTTCATTATTTTAGTCTCGTCTCGTTACGGTTGAATTGAAATTACAAATGTGTTAATGAAAATTATGGATTCGTAATTGTTACCACGAGAATGAAACAAAAAAATCGACTTTTAGCTGAAATGTTTTTGATTACAAATTCTTTCGTTGCCAATAACAAGATCAGCGAAGGAAATTTATCCCGGTTCACTTTCTTCCGTCAATTCCCCCCGAGATTCACATCTCTAGAAAGTAACTCTACGATTTTTTAAAATGTTTGAACGCGGTAGTGGAGGATTGTTTCAGTCGAATGTAAATTATTACTTAACATTTTACGTTGTTTGCCGAACGACCGAAACTGAACTTTTCGCCGTCGATAAATTTCTCTTGTCGTTAACTCATATTTTAGCGACCGGAATAGAACTCCCCTCGTCAACAACGATTATGAAAAAACATATTCGGTTACGTTCATCAAATCACAATTTAATTTAATTTTCTTGGAAAAACGTTTCATTTAACTTGGAAAATTTCCTTTACATTTTCAGATTACCTGAGTAATAAACAAATTCATTCGACTGCCGATTCTTCTCACAAAACTATTATCTTTGGCTCTTGCTCAATTATGTACTAATTGCTGAATGAAATTTCATCTAATTCTATTTATTTGATAAATAGACTTGAAAAGTCTTTTCCTTTGACAACTCTGGCAAACGAGCTTTCGAAGAAGCACCTGTCCGGCAGCTGTTCGCGCGCCTTGTGTCCACACCGTGAAACAAACTGAAAGAGAAAGTAAAGTGCGTGTCGTAAGAGAGTATGCCAACTTCATACCGGAACGCGGCGAAATATCTTAGTCGGCGAGTGACTGCAATACGGCGAGCAACATCTTGTCCGACAAATCCCCATCTCTATCCTGATTGTTCTCGTTTCGTAAACACGGTAAAACGAATTTTTTTTTTTTTTTTTTTTAATAAAAACTTGACAAATTATTGTCAGTAAATCTCGTTTAAGAAAGAGGAGGGAATTTCTCATTGCGGGATAAGGATGCGGAGGATCCTTGGCGAACGAAGAATGTTGAGATTCTGCATTTTGATGGTCGTTTGTCGCTTGGATTCCACCATCGGAATACCTGCGGAGCAACCAACCAGATTCACACTGAACACTGGAGATACCAGCACGAAAGATGTCGCTACCACGTTTAATTACACGCCTGGCCAGGTGAGCCTCTTAAATCTCTTAATTTTCTGTTAGAATTTTTACAAGTTCAACACACAGAAAATTTCAAATGTAGCGATACGTAATGCTCTCAACATTTCCGTTGTCTTCTTTGAAGATATGAAAAAGGTTTTGCTGATAAAAATTGTTTGATACAGGGTTTTCCTAGGCGAGGCAGTTCAATGTCATTTCAGAATCACCTACATTTTTTTCTCTTTTTAAATGGAATGATATATCTTTCTTCTCCATTAGTCGATGAACGCTCAGCATTCACTATAAAAGAAGTGTTAATTTACGTATGCACATGTAACTATTAGTTTAGAAGATATTAGTAAAATCTGTAAAATCTGTTGTGTGAAAGATGAGGGGGGCAGTATTTTTGTTTGTTCTGTCCATGTCTTTCATGCATGAATTTTATAAAATTGAAATTCAATTGTAACAATTTTTCGACGTCAATACTTTTTTCGATAGAAGATAAAAAGCTCGATATCTCTGAAACTCCTCCAGCTACGAAAAAAAAATCATTACTGCAACATTATGGTCCCCCTCCCCTCGGCGTTAAACAATTCTTGTTAACAAAAAATTAATTTTTTTCGTATCTTCGAATTCTTCGAGGTATCCAAGATGATCAAGTCATGTGCTCTGTATACAAGTGAAAATGAAGATTGTCACGTAATATAAATATTAATTTATAATTTATGATGATTGCAACGCTGCGATATTGGCAAGAAAGATGAAAGATCACAAGGTGTTCGATGTAGAAAGGTGGACAGGTATTGGAAAATTGTTTTTCGATTTTTGTAGGAGTTGTTAGGCCGTGTCACGGACGCGATAAGAATCGGCACAGGGAGATTCGTGAATTCCGTCACGTTGGCCAGAAACATCATAGCCAATCAGGCGCAGGTAATTGGCGCCACTGACTTCACTATCGCTTGCCTTCGATTTTTCTCGTTCATCGCTGCATCAGTCTAATTCTTCCATTCCAGACATCAAACTTCACTAATTGATCTTCAGATTTCACTGATTAATCTTCCATTGTCGCTTCCATCCATCTCGTAATTCACTTGCGCTAAAGTTGTACTTCTTGTCTAACCTCTTTCCCTTCCTCTGTGAAAGTTTCATCCCCCAGAAGATGTCGATCTTCCTCATTCCATCCTTTCTCTTTCCTTCGTTCACAAAGTTTGATAAAATTCGCCCGCCCCGTGAAAAGAATTCTTTTTCCCATCGTGGCGGAAAAAGAGCCGAAAGTGAAAGTGAAACGGCAGACACGCGACGAATAAATCGATCCACCTCTCGACAGGATTTCGTCATTTGTCACAAGGTTGTCTTTTCTTAATCAATGCATGTGGCAACAACGAGTAACGAACGAGTCGACCTGATTTGAATTCGAGATTTGATCCTCGCGATAGGATCGTCGATCATCGAAACGAAATGCGAGTTATATATCAGGCGTTCACTTAATAACACTCACATACGCGTTGTCATAAAAACTCGTCGATTGGCAAATAGCAATGAGAGAGCAATTCTGCTCGGTTTTGCAAAACCGTTCGAACGATAAACACTCAGGACACTTTCGTTGTGGTGACACAGGCTCTGGCCAGTGAAACGGAGAACAACGTAGAGGTGCAAAAGTCAGTGGCCTTGAACTATGAACCGATATCCTTCGGAACGACCCAGTATCCGCCAGTGACGAACACTCGGCCAAGCTCGCGCGAAATTGTCAGGTTGGAGAACGAAACGGCGCAGAGTTTCTTCGAGAAACCAGTTTCGAAGCCTGTCGCCAGTATTTTGGAATCTATCCTCAGTCCGACGCCATTGGTCGATGGCATGAAGGAAGAAGAGAAGTACGGAAACTCCGGCGACAAGTTCATCGGCATCGGTCGCACTCTGGTCAATGGATTCGAGACCTTCAGCAATTTTCTGAACGCTGTCGTTGACGTACGTATATTATATATATAATATTCTATATTCTATATATATATGTATTATTATATATTATATATATTCTATATATTTGTATTATATATATATATATATATATTCTAAATTGTTCGAATCAATATCCGTACGTATATAATACATACATACATGCATACATATATATATTCTGAATTGTCAATGAATCAATATCCAATACATGAATACATATATATATGTGTACATTGATTCGTTGACAATTTAAAAAAGTTAGGATATTTTTGGTTGAGTCAAAGCTTTTGGCTTTTAATCTCTGACGTGAAATTAGAAGGATAAGTATCTTTTAATTTGTGTTTGAGAGTAGAACTGGCAGTGACGACGAAAAATCGTGGATAATTTGAGCTGAAGTTAAGATATAACTTGATGATTGACTGAGAATGATCGTGCAGCGATTCACATGTTTATAAAGTGCGAAACCTCGCGTGACAATGATGCAGTCGAGTTTGCTCGTTCTTTGTGAAGATGATTATACATCATGGAATTTCTTCTTGAAGATTCGAACTTTTTTTTGAGAAATATTAAAAATTTTATTCTATAAGATCTTGGCCAGATCTTAACTTTCATTTTAAAGATACAATGTTTCTTTTTGTTTTTCCTGAATATTTAAGAAACGTTTCATCGTTTTGAGTCTAACGTTTCAAGTTTAATAAGATGGGAAAAAAGAAAATGAACTTCAAAAGACCATTGCAAAGAGAAAGTTCCAATCTTCAAAATCACGGTATTTAATCTTAGATAATTTTTTTTTTAAAAAAACACGCGTGAATTTTTACGATTTTTACAATTTTTACAATCTTCCGAGAGAACAGTATCCTCACTTTTCCATCCCTTATATTATAAAGTGATCTTCAAAGAAAATACGAAGTTACATCAGCTTAAGTCATTGACAATTTTTCATCATCACTGGTACAGTTGCGCTCTTCACTATAATTACATTGGACACGAGAAACAGAATTTATAATACTACATTTAGTTTCATCGAGTCTTTCTCAGCCTGTGCTGTCAAAGGATCAGAGTAAATTAGAAAAAATTAATCTCTTCCTCGATGATAATAGAGTGATCGTTGTTTCCAGTTTCCACGCAAGACTGTGAAAAAGACGACCCAAGGAATCACAGACGTGCTGAATAAGGTGGGAGCTCGTCTCGTCGGATTGGAATAATGTAACCATCATAATTCACGTATTGTATTTCGTTTTACTCGGTGTCACAATTGTTGCGCGTTGCTCGAATAAACTGTTCGTCTTTTTCATTGTGTCGTTTCGTGAATGAGATAAAATGATTTTCTCGCTGGTCGATTAAAGACATTTATGCGAATTCGTATCTTCCTTCTGAACGACCCGAAGGAATTTGTTTAGCCCTACTAAGAAATTTTCACAAATTCGTTTTGTACGTTCTGGCACCATTGGATGATCAACCAGCGAGGAAATCATGTTGCAACGAGCGTGAAGGAGAAGAGTCGTGGAAAAACATCTAGAGAACTCGCATAAATACATTGTTTATTACTCGAACGATACACGTAACGAACTTGGTGTGTCGAACATCCTACAGCGTGACGCATAATCGATCCTAGCAAAATATCTTAGCAAGCTGCACTGGAAATCACGGCACTTGAAACTTGATTAATAGACTCTCGAGTGCTGTTCAATTACCAACTACGTGACGATCGAAATGATCACGGTAAAAACGTATACGCGCGATCGACACGCCCGAGGAGGGGGGAGGGGATTTAGAGCTAAGCGAAATGTGAAATCTTGGGAACTGCAGGTACCACGGGCGTGTCATCGATTCGATCATTAACGCGACAAAAATATAATATAATTGTGCCGGCGTTCGCGCAACTGGGCGTTATTATACGCGAACGAACGTTATTATACGCGTCGAGGAGCAAGTCGTCGGGCGAAGGCCCCGTTGCGACGAAACGCGATTTTGGTATACTGCGCGTGCGTGCGATAACGTGTCTTGTCTCTATTAAATGAAACTGATTCGCATGCAAGGTAACATAAAACGTAATCGCAATCTACGATATACAAAGTTCTTTCTGTCGCGTACTAACATAATAACTAACTAATCGGAAGTCGATCGAAGCGGTCGATCTCGCGATAATGGTCACTCTAGTCCTTGACCTTTCACCTCTTCATTCCTACGTGTTGGAAAACTCGTTGGTTTCGAGGTTTGTCGAACTGGTCGACTAAACGGAGGAGGTCTCGTCGTATAAGCAGAAGGTTCACGTACACTCGCGTACGTGCGATAGTGGCGGCGATAGATTCGCGGTGATCGCTGGGGATCTACGTACTCGAGCTCTACGATAGAAAAGGAATCGAGTGTGCACACGAAGAAG